TGTCTGAGATATTGTCTACAGCTGTGTGGGACAGGTCAGTTTTTCTTCTGGATGTTTCTGGATTCCTGTGATCAAGGGTGGCACCAGTTAAGAACACAGTAATTATTTCCAGACTTTGGGCATGGGACTAGGGGTGGAGGGAACTTCTTTTGGGGCTTGCACATTTGCTGTTTTCAGGGCTGCTTGTTGGGATGCAGATGCTGACGGGTGGTGGTGGAGGGAGTATTTAAAAGAGCTGTCCTCAGTTGAAATACTTTGTGATTGGGTGGTCTTCTAGCTTTACTTAGGCGTTTCTACAGCATATATCAAAGCTTTTGAGTACTACAGGGGAAGGATTTTATTTTTTTTATAGACTGCAGAGTTTTCAGCACTTGGCTCACAACCACCTGTCTCACTGGAGCAAGTTACAGGGGAGGGAAACTATTTGGTGTTGTCACTTGGGCTAAATGTGTCTGCAGGGGATGTTCAGAGACCTTGGGGATGTTGCTAGCACTCAAGATCTACAGCAATATTTATTTTTTTTTAAACAGATGCTGAAGTGCTTGAAGGACCAAGATGTCCTTGAATGTCCTCCTTCAACAGATTCTGAGGAGTTCAGACTTTACTTAGAATCTGAGAAATCCTCTTGAAAGATGTTTGAAGATGTTAGGGGATGTGCATGATGCACATTTGCCACTATCTTCTCCACTTCTTCCCCTATACTTCTTGCATAATGTGGGATGGCATGGCACGCTGTCTGATGCTAATATAAGGGCTTAATTTCCCTGACACCTTCATGAGCCCTTAATTCTAGGCTTGACGACAGCCACACAATGTCTGTAAGGACTCTGAACATGTAAATAATGCAGGGATGGCTGAGTAGATATCGCTGCTCTAGTTCTTATTAGGTGGTGAGGATGTCTACAGAAAATTCTGCAGATGTGTGCATGTGAAACATGGAGGTTTAAGAGCAAAATAGTATAGAACAAAATGGTAGGGTTGACAAGGCTATTCTGATACTATGTATTGGCAAACATAAAAGATGTCCTTTACACTGTAAAGGATGCTGAAGCTTCTGCCTAGTCACTCCTTTTATATTTGTCCTCGGTGTTTTTGTTCCATTTGTGGTGATCTACAGAGCTCATATGCTTGTTCAGTGTTGGCATGGCAAGGGGAGGGAAATCAGGAGGAAATAAAGTAGCACAATAAAAATCCACCACTATGCTAGCTTTTAACCTGTTTTAATAAGTTGGTATGTTTTAACAAATTTCCGCATACAAACTTATGCTGAGTACAAATAAGAGCTGATATAAACCTCTGTATTATGCCTCAACTGCATTTATCAGAGAAGGGAAAGACTTCACAGAATCACAGAACTGTAGGGGTTGGAAGGGACCTCGAAAGATCATTGGGTCCAACCCCCCCTGCCAAAGCAGGTTCCTCAGAGCAGGCTGCCCAAGTAGGTGTCCAGACAGGCCTTGAATATCTCCAGAGAAGGAGACTCCACAACCTCCCTGGGCAGCCTGTTCCAATGCTCTATCACACTCACCGTGAAGAAGTTCTTTCGCATGTCAGTGCGGAATTTCCTGTGCTCTAACTTGCAGCCATTGCCTGTTGTCCTATCCCCATAAACTACTGAGAAGAGGTTGGCTACATCCTTCTGTCCCTCACCCCTATATACACTGAGGAGATCCCCGCTCAGTCTTCTCTTCTCCAGGCTGAACAGACCCAGGTCTCTCAGCCTTTCCTCATAAGGAAGATGCTCCAGGCCCCGTATCATCTTTGTGGCCCTCTGCTGGACTCTTTGCAGGAGATCCCTGTCTTTCTTGTACCAGGGAGCCCAGAACTGGACACAGTACTCCAGGTGAGGCCTGACCAGGGCAGAGTAGAGGGGGAGGATCACCTCCCTTGACCTGCTGGCCACACTCCTTTTAATGCACACCAAGATCCCATTAGCCCTCTTGGCCACAAGGGCACAGTGCTGGCTCATGGTCAACCTGTCATCCACCAGGACCCCCAGGTTCTTCTCCTCAGAGCTCCTCTCCAGCAGGTCATCCCCCAGCCTGTACTGATACTTCGAGTTGTTCCTTCCCAGGTGCACTTCCTCTTATTAAACCTCATTTGGTTCCTTCCTGCCCATCTCTCCAGACAGTCCAGGTCTTACTGAATGGCAGCACAGCCTTCTGGTGTGTCAGCCACTCCTCCCAGACTTGTGTCATTGGTGTACTTGCTGAGGGCAGACGCTATTCCCTCATCAAGGTCGTCAATGAAGATGTTGAACAAGACCGGACCCAGCACCGACCCCTGGGGAACACCGCTAGTCACAGGCCTCCAGCCAGACTCTGCTCTGCTGATCACCACCCTCTGAGCTTGGCCAGTCAGCCAGTTCTCAACCCACCTTGCTGTCCACTCCTCTATCCCACACTTTCTCAGCTTTGCTAGTAGGATATCATGGGAGGCACTACTGAAAGCCTTGCTAAAGTCAAGGTAGATGACATCCACCGTTCTCCCCCCATCTACCCAGCTGGTGATGCCATCATAGAAGGCAACGAGGTTGGTAGAGCACAACTTCCCCTTGGTGAATCCATGCTGACTACTCCTCATAATCTTCTTCTCTTCCAAGTGCTTGGAGATGTCATCCAGAACAAGCTGCTCCAATACAGGGACAGAGGTGAGACTGAGTGGCCTGTAATTTCCTGGATCCTCCTTCCTGCCCTTCTTGAAGACCGGAGTAACATTGGAGGATAGCCAGTCTTCAGGCACCTCACCCGTTCTCCAGGACCTTTTAAAGATGATAGAGACTGGTTCAGCAATCACATCTGCCAGCTCCCTTAGCACACGCGGATGCATCCCATTGGGACCCATGGATTTGTGTGCATTGAGCCCACTCAGATGCTCCTGAACCACTCCCATGTCCACCGGGGGGAGCCCTCCATTTCCCACACCCTTTTTCCTATTGCCAGGGGCGAGGAGTCCTGGGGGAGTGTCCTTGAAGCAAAGACTGAAGCAAAGAAAGCATTCAGTATCTCTGCCTTCTCAGCATCCCCTGTGAGGACACCCCCCTCATTCAGCAAGGGACCCACATTATCCCTAGTCTTCCTCTTGCTGTTTACATACTTGAAAAAAACCCTTCTTATTATCCTTTATCTCTTTTAATATACGGTACTTACGAAGTTCTAGGGGCATTAATTCCGTTGTTAATATATGTTAAACACTATTTGATTGTTGTGCGTGCATCTAAATGTTTATTTGGGAAGGGATTAGATGGTACATTCTCTGATCTGACTGAACTATTGTAATATATACATACTGAGATTTTGCATAGCTTTGAGGTTTAATTTTTGTGGTGACTTCTGAAAGAAAAAAAGTGGTTTGGCTTCTCAAGAAGCTTTGACTGAAGGCAGGGGAGTGTAACAATGTCTCAGCAGCTGCTATCCCATTGCAAGTACTCTAAATATATACATATGTTCTACAGCAGTCTAGTGGTTGGAAGGGACTGTCTGGAAGACTTCAGTATTATTCTATTCTTCCAGTTTCTCACTTGGACAGTGAAAACATGACAGCAATAGCAGAGCTTCTCTTTATCAAAGCTGATGTGAGGGAGGTATTTAAAAGTAAGTTTAATGTTATTTCATGATGAAGTGCTATGCTAGTTTGTCTTTCATTAAGAATCATCTACTCGCTGATCAGGGACTTGACATATCCTTGATTAAACACTCTTCCAGAAGGACAAAATCTTCTATTGAAGCACAGACACAAATATCATGGGTAATAGCTGATTTTATAATCAGTTTATGACCACAATGTTTCATCTCCAGAGGTAGGATCCTTCTATTTCCATAATCATTTTCTCTCTTGCTTTAAAAAAAATAAAATAAATCATTAGTCTCTTAAGGCATGGGATTTGACATACAGTCAACAAACTTCATAAAGCATAAATGAACACAAGAAATGGAGATACTTGATTAGTGAAATTGCACATGAAATATATGCAAGCATTCAGATTTATTTTCTAAAACTAGTCATTTCTGTAGAACAGCTCCCCCACATCTGGATTCTTGAGAGGAATTGTAATAGTATTCATAAGGATTCAGGGTCAGCTTGTTTATCTTTTCACTTCTAGCATACCATAATGCCTTCTGTTTTGTTTTGTTTTCCTTCAAATAGGGAGAGTCATAATACCTGTGGTTTGGGTTACCTAATATTTAAGTACTTAGCTAGTGTGTGGATTTTTTCAGATGCTGCTTATTTAATTTTTAATTTTTCATGGATGTGGGTTTTGTGGGAGTAGGGTTTCTGGTAAACTTTGAACAAATGCTTTGGTTATCTTGGAGAGCAGATTTGTGAAAAATATCTGCCTAAGTTTTTATAGCTTTGGGGAAAACCACAGCATTGCTGTGACTTGTAAAGATTTGAAGTTGAGGAAGGTTGTAATTTATTTGCTTAAGGTGGCACTTAGAAGGTTGGGTACTAACAATGCTAATGTGCACTTGGAAGGAGGAAAAAAAAAAAGCAGCGTGTACTAGTCTGACTAGATTTGATAACGTTGCACTTACAGGAGACCAAAACTTCTTGGGCAAACTTGATTTGGGACACTCAATTTCTGAGGATTTTGCTCAGGTTATTCTCTAAATCTGGATTTCTGTAGGTAACTTCTTTCAGATAAACAATTTGCAATCCCTTGACAAGGCTTATGTTTCTATACCACTGTACACTATGAAATAGCATACTCCTACCTTAGTCTATGAAACCTAAACAGGGCAGAAGTTAAGACAGCAATACAGTAGCTACTCAGAGAACACCATTCTAGAGATAGCAGCTCAACACAGAAATGGGTTCTTCAGTTTCATTTCTTTTTCTTTGGGGGGCAGGGGGAGTAGGGGAGGCTGAGCTATTTGTCATAGTTGGAGTTCCTTGTAGTCAGTCTCAGGCTTTGCAGACCTGAATCCAGACTAGAAAATTCTAAGCCACTTTTTCTTTTGTTAGCTGCTGGACTATGTTTTTGTTTGTTTGTTTTCCAGGTCCCTTAAGAAAACAACTGCAAGACACAAAGAAAGAGGAAGATCTTGGTGAAGCACCAGCTTGGGAGGATAAAGCTTTGGCATTGTGGGATGAAGGTGGTAAAAAGAGAGTTGTGCAGGCAAAGACATCAAGAGATGGTCCAGGAGCAGGCTCAGGTGTGTGACAGTCCAGATGGATCTCAGCAAGTGTGCTTACCTGTACAGCTTGGCCAAGGAGAAGGTCATTTCGCAGCAGCACATCTACAGAGGTTGGTCCATGGCCAGCAACCCCGGGGGCTGGACCCTGTGTGTGTCCAGCCACAGAGGCAGACAGCCCAAGGAAGTATAGTCCCAAACATGGAACCACGGCAAATAGATGAGAGGTGGGATGCCCCAGGGGTGACAGTACAGGTGCGGCCTCAGAAGCTGAGCCAGGGGTGGGAGGCCCCAGAGGTGACAGTGCAGGTGTGGCCTCAGAAGCTGAGCCCAAGGTGGGAGATGCCAGAGGTGACTGTGCAAATGCAGTTACAGCAGAGGGGCCAAGGACCAGCTCTCCCACACATAACTGTGCAGGTACAGCCACAGGTCCGGGGACAACAAATGGCTGGTGTCAAGGTCACTGTGCAGATGCACTCGGGCTGTGAGCCAGAAGAAGTGACCCATGTCCAGGACCAAGGTGATGAAGTGTTAGGGAATGGAGAACAGCTGACACGAAAACAAAACCAGGGAGATCTGATAGCAAGATATGAAAGCGAGAGAGAAGTGAATGAAGTGGAGCTGGTACCACAGGGGGCTTGGAATCAAAAGCAGGATCAAGAAGGAGATGTGATAAAATTCCAGCAGGAACAGAACCAGAAAGGGGAAAGAGTAGAAGTGACAGAACTGCAGGTTGAAGACCAAGCAGGCCTGGATAGGATGGTGACAGAAGAGCAGCTGCAGAACCAGAGCCAAGAGCGGGAAAACTTAAAAGCAGACCTGTCACCACAACAGGAGGGTCAAAGAGTTGCAGAGATGAGTCAGGACCAAAGTGATGTCCACATCCAAGAAGAACCCAAGGGACTGGTTGAAGAGCAGCAGGAAGATCTGGAGCAAGAAGTGCCTAAGAAACGCCCCCGAGAAATTCCAAATTACTTTGTCTCTATACCAATCACGGATGATCAGGTATTTTAAAATAGTTCTATCTAGAACAAAGCCTTAAGAAGGGGGGAAAAAAAATAAAATAAAAAGTTGCCTTAGTTTCCAAGTTTGTTAATGAATGACCAAATTTTGCTCCCCTACCTGAACTAGTTAAATATTACCTTGAGAATTGCCATTGTTCTTTTCATAAGGTCTGATTGGATGTGTCTCTGCAATAATATCTTTTAGTCTATAGTAGTTTTCTAAAAGAAAGCAGTGGTTTTCACCACCTTGTATTGTCCGTTCCTGAATGCTTAAATTTATACTTAGTGCAGTAGAAACTAGAACTTATCTCCTTCTCCACTGAGGTTCACAATGGCGGATGAGAACCTTCTGTCCTACAGAAGAGAAAAAGGGGTGTTGATCTATTCTTTTACCCACAAACTTATCCTGACATTTTAGGTAGACAGTTAATTCCAGGAATCCCTGTGTGGGGTCTGCATGCTCATTCTTCACCCAGGTATGCTACATTCTGTGACTTCCATGGGAAAGCGACACATTTTCACCTCTAAACAGCAGCAAATGGCAGAAATCCAGATAGAAACATTTTTCTCTAGAGGTTTTCTGAGTGCCCTAAAACATTCCAGTTACCACAGAAGACATTTCTGAAATGTGTCAAGCTAGCCTTGTAGGACTTGGGTACTTCAGACACAATTTTATGATCCATGGAAGTAAATTCTGAAGATGATGTGAAAGCTGGAGACAGATTGCACACTTCACTTTTTAACTAGTTATGTATGACAGGTTTGAAGCCTCTAATTTCTGCAAAATTCCATGCCTATTTTTTTTGTAATATAATGACAAAGACATTGCCTCACCTTGAGCTACGTATTCCCATTCAGCTAGTACAAGTCTTGAAACTCACATAATCTTCTGAAAGACAAACAGTACTTCATTCCTGAAGCAGTACTGTTGGTACTTTTACTGGGAATTCTGCCATTCAGCCTTCTGTAGAGACATGTGACTTGTTGATGGCAATGTCACATTATTTGTTTAGTGTACAAAATCAGACAGCTCTCATGCTCTGTACCAGCATCCACTGCACTCTCTGCAGCCCTGCCTAGGCTAAGCCTTCTTGACCCCACAGCATGCACACAGGAAATGAAGAAAAGCATTGGGATGGAGATACAAGAAAGAGCATTGGGATGGAGATACAAGAAAAATTCCATTTGGCAGAAGCGGGCAGAGGGAAGTCTTGATTTGTATCATTAACTATTGCATCCCAGCTAGCATGAGCAAAACTGAGACATAGGATAATTAGCATGAGTTATTAATATTTATAACATATATGCACCTTGGGAACTTTTCCTACAAAATATATTTTCACCACATCCATACAAGTTAACATTCATATATATATGTTTTTTTTACATATCTCTTGGCTACCAGCTTCTCTTAGTTTATGCTGCTTTTTCCAGTGAACCAAACTGATGTTATTTCTTGCAGCATATAAATTGATTGCTTTTTTTCCTAGCTTAGGCTTCCATGCAGTATTTGGGACAACTGTATTTACAATACTGAAAGGCAATAATTAAGTAGAATGACTCTGTCTGTTGTACATCTTTTTCCTTTTTTTTTAAAATGTGGGAAGAAGCTGTAGTACGGTAGCTTGGTTTGGCAGGCTTTTGAATTCTTGTTTTTACCTTAAGTAAGATTAGGAACCTTTACGTATGTGTTAGAGGGAGATGTCAAAGGTGCCTTCCTCTTGGTAGGCAATTATTTGCTCTGGCTTTGTCTTGAGTGGAATAATCGCTGAAGGTTATCTGGAGGATGGCCCCATATAACTTTCAGTGATTCCTACATATGACTGGCTTTTGAGAGGTGAACAAAAGTGCAGAGCACATCAGGAAGATAAATGCCAGGAAGGGAAAATAACTGTGTAAGCTGGAAGACAATGCTGGCAGAGGAACAAATGGGTATGCAGTGGGCAAAGAATAAATCTAGGCTGGAAACTGGAAAATTTCCTGCCATCTGAGGAATGAGATCATGGAACAGCTCGAGGGGACACGAGTGCCTAACTTATTCTGCTATTTTAATGAGATTTGTGTCCTAATATATGGCCTGTGACCACATCTTATAGAACTCTGTGAATATTCTTCCCTTCTGCTTTTCTTCTCTCAATTCTGCTCTTCCAGATTTCTTTGGTCTTGCATCAGCTGTAGTAATCTGGCAGCTCTGTCCCTGGCTGGCTGCTCTGCCCAAGATATTCCTGTTTCATGCTTCTTTCAGAGTCTCATGATTTACTTTTAATGGCAGCAGTGATTGATGGCCTTGGGTAAGAGTCTGTATGAGGGGAAACACTGAAGCTACCCACTGCTCCCAGAAATGCAGGCCTGGTATATGTGGAGTGAGTGTGCATAAAATAAATGTATATGTGCATATGTAATATTTGTCAATAATTTCAGATTCTTTCCTCTATGAAGAAGAGGGATTTGACCCTACAAAGGGAACATATCACATGCTTCGGTGATGTACTGACTTGCTTGTAGTCCACCTGTTGAAAGGATTTAAAGATGTTACACCTCTTCTGGGTAGAGCTAGTTTCCCTTAAATAATTTTTTTAAGAGATTGGTTCTGCAACAGTCAGGTATCTACATGAAGGAATTTGAGTCAAACTTGGCTTCCCAGTTGTCTAAGCCTCAAACGGAGTCTCAGATGATCTTTCAAGAGTATTCTCAGAGTGGGGTACTTAGGAGTGTAAGGCTCTCTTATGGAATTGGGTCAATACTCAATGTATTCTGTTGAAGCAAAGATTTTTAGGTTGTGCGATCAGAAAACTTGGTATCTTGATTCCTGGTCTGTTTTCATGATCTAGGCAGAAGTGCAGGCCATACTAGATTGCAAGAAGCAGGCCTTAATCAATTATATCTGTCACAGTAAGAAATGCTTTAATTTAAGAGTCATTTCAATGTTGATTTTAACATAGTGAGAAATGTACTGTAAGCATCTGAATTCAAGGAGTTCACTGTTTTAATCTTCAAATGGATTCTCTTAATTGTATCTGTCTTTATCCTGGCATTTACCAGAAACTTGTTATACTAATCTCTTCTGCCATCTAGGTTGTGGTACTGTTAGCTGGACTGCACAATGACTGCCAAGGCTTTATGTAGAAAGATTGCAAAACAAAAATATATTGACCCAGCTGTTTCAACCTATGTAAGAATAAAGTAGAGCTCGAACGTGTGTAAGCATCTAGGCATGTAAGTCAGCATTGGCTCACTGAAATAACCTGAAAATCTATAAACATGTTGGCTGTAACAACGGCTTCCACCAAATGCTTAGTCCTGGAGCATTTGAATTTTTCTCCATCCCAGCTTCTTCCTGTGACTTGTCTCTCAGCCTTAACAGATTGTTTTAAAAGTTCTTTTTCTTTGTAACCAGCCATTGGAGCTAATTGGGAAAAGACACAATAGACCCAGAAGAACTAAAAATTGGCTGTGCAGCTCTAGAAAATATTTACTTGGACAACAACATGTTTACTGAGTTGATCTTTGTTTGTTGCTAGTTTTCTTTTGGGAAGAAATCAGTTTAATCTGTGATCAAACTTGTAATCAGAAAATGGCATAAGATTAATTATGGAAATGCTATTCAATTTCCAGTCTATTAACAACTGACTACTGCATGAAGATCACATTAATATTTACAGAGTTATGAGCTTTATTCAAACATGCTTAGGGTCAGATTCAGACCTAGTTTAAGATCTAGGGTGCTGACTCACATGAGAGCAATGAATTTAGCCTGTAGGCTTTGAAAGGGAAAACAGATCAATCAATCTTTTTTTTTTTTTTAAACAACAAACACTAATTTGAAACAGAAACATAGAAATAATGTTATGTGATAGATTGGGAGGGAAGGGGTGTTGCTTGTTGATATTTGATTCAAACTGGAACTGCGTTTTTGTGTAAGAGGCTGTAGCTTTCTGAATTTTTCCTGCAACACCTGGACACCCCACAATGAAGCTTTATTTCCCTGTCTCCTGTTTACTGCATTGCAGATTTTGGACAGAATTGAAGATGTCCAAGAGCTTATATTCACAAAAGAGCCTGACCTACTGAGAGCTTTTCTTCCTGTTCAAACTATGCATCTTACTATAATAGTGGCTCACCTGGCAACAGAAGAAGAAGTAAAAAAGTAAGAATTCTGCAAGATTTAAGTGCAGCTAACTTCACTGTAAATTTGGGAGCCTTATTTCTGTGATAAATAACAACTTTCAGTAGGTCTTACCCACAGTTTTCCTCTTATAATTTTCTGATCAGTTTCTGTATTGCTCCTGATACATAGTAAGGAAAGCTCTTTACAAGAGCTAAATGGGATTTTTCAGAGGCTGAAGTTCTGCCCATCTGGGTGTGGGGAGAAGGCAGCATGTCTGTTAAAGGTATAATTACTGTTCTTATCATAAATTAACTCAATGAATGTAGCTTTTTGAGAAACTACAGCTTTTCAGATCATCCATGCTTGTATCAGCTGGAAAACATTAACTGATAGGACATGTTGCATTAAGGAAAACAAGTCTCACTAGTTCCTTTCCAAGCTGTTCTCTTGTCTAATTACAGCTGGGGGCTGTCAGTAGGGTCCCGTGAGTTATGATGGGGATAGTGAAAGATGATTTAGGAAAGCAGCCCTGTGGTGAGGAGGGCTAAAGCTGTTGGAGTGGATGCACAAGTAGAACTAAGAGTCAATATGTTAGAGTTTTTCTTCTCTGAGCCTTTTTCTTCTCTAGGCCTTCTTCTATGGTACTACACAGGGGAAACAAGTCTCTGGCATAGGGAGGCCTTTAGACACCTGGGAAGGTATTGCAAAGTAGAGGTAGGAATCTGTTCAGAGTAATCATTTCTCCAGGGGTCTTGGCAAGGGAATGGCAAAATAGAATAAGGACTCAGCATTGTGCAGGTAAGACAAAGGATCTGCCTGGACCTAAAGCAGAATGTCTTGCTGGAATGAACTTGTACAGAAAAAAAAAGTATGTTTTTTTTTAAATCTCTGCTTATACAGGTAGAGTTGGCTAAACAGGACTAAGATGCAAATGCACGTGACAGATTTGTATGTGCCTTATAAAATGACCTGTATTCGTGTTCATTCAAGGCTTTTTTTAGAAGGCCTGAGGGAAGGGATAGGAGAACCTTTACATGGGCTGAAGAACCTGTGTGTGGAAGTCACTATGTACAGTAATTTGGCAATAAAAATCCCTGTCAGTGTTGCTGACTGGGCAGGCTGTTATCCAAGAGGATAGGAAGCTAGTGGAGAGCAGCAGTGAAAATAGGAATCAATCAGTTGGAGAGGTGAGTGGAGCTAAGTAGTGTTAATGAACTTAAGAGTGGATGCGTGTCTGTAATATAAAAAATAATGGGCATACCTAATGAAAAGCAGATCTTACTTGCCAAAAGCTTTTCATCCTTTATCTTCTATGTAACTGCAGAGCTCTACTAAACAGGCTCTAGTTTAGTGGCTGCTGCTTGGTGCTGTGATATGAGAGACCACCTTAGTTGTTAAGCCAAGCACTTCTCAAGCTTATAGCACTGCTGAAACAGCATGCTTAGCCCCTTGAAATGAGAGGAAGGCAACTTGAAGAACTTGTGCTATGAAATATCTAGCAGTGATTAATGGTAGTCTAGACATAATGGTCTTAAATGAAGGGCTAAGTTATCCCTGCTTGTTATTAAGGTGGAAGGAGCAAGATCCTCTGCAGAAAACTCATCCCCCTTCCATCTTCAGTGCTATCCTCATCAAAACTTCATCTACACAGTCCCTAGGAGGTTCAAGAAGCAGCAGGTCTCAAGTTATAATTAACAAATGACAATTCTTCACTATTGCATTCAAGTTACAATGTTGACTTTTGTAGGTTAAAATTGCCTTTGTATGCATGAAATATTTTCCTAAGAGGATAAGGGCACAGAACTTGTGCCATGTGGATGGTAGTGCTAGTTTTCTTTTTGGATAATGTAAAAATAAAGACTTTATTTTAAATAATGAAGCAAGGTAGTCAAAACTTTAAGTATTATGCTAAAAAAAAATGTAAATCTAGCTATGGGGACCACAGCAACCATTGGGCAGGTGTTCTTGTGGTCCTTAGTTGTGCAGTGTTTTGTTAGAGGTGTGAGGTGTTATTAGAAGGCTTCTGCTCAGGCTCTGGGCTTGAAGTCTGACAATTCCTTTTCCAGTGACACCAAGGTAAAAAGGTGTCCTTGTAACACCTTAGTGGGTATTCAGTTACTCAAAGAGGTATTTGTTTTTAGAAGTCTAATAGTTATATTTTGTTTGAATCTTTAAACAAAATAGTTGAACTATTATGTCATGGATAACTTCTTGGTGATGCTTCTGTGCACATCTTAATTCTGTTGAAATGGGACCTAGAGCTTTCAACACAAGAAACAGTTTGCTATTTTGTTAACTGTACTTGAATAATAAAATATAATGGAGACAAATGTTTGATGTACTTCGGCTGAGAGAATAGATTTACTTAGGTTTAAGAACAAAGTTAGTGAACCAGATGAAAATTACAATGATAAAGGTTTAAATTTCATGATGAATATAAGTTCAACATTTATCCCTTTGACTGCTTAGCAACACTATAGTCACATAGCCATTTCTGGAATGTTAATGACTTAAACATTCACTTTTCTAGCAAAACTCACTTCTAATGTATAAACTAAAGTTGAAGTTAAAAGACACAATTTACTTTAAATGTCTGCACATCTGCTAATTGTTACAAAACCATTAGCACTGGAATATAGTGTGCTTGGTACACCTTCTATAGTGTTGCAGAATGGCCAAAATCTTTTTAATCTGATATTTGAAATGTAACGATATTTTTAGGTGTAATAGTCAAAACCTTATTTCAGACTTTATTTTGTATTTTTGAAGGGCTGTTCTGGCACTGAAGCAAAGCAAGGCTAAAGTTGAAGCCATTTTGCAAGGTAAAGACCTTATTATGACATTTCATGGGATTGGACAGTTTAACAATCAAGTGATATATGTGAAAATGTCAGAGGAAAACCAGAAGATGCTTAGCAGAATTGCAAGTAAGTACCTAACCTAAATCTTTACTGCTTGCAGTAAACAAGTTTGCAGTCTGTCAGCTCTTCAACATATTGGCCTGAGCTGCTGTGCATGCCTATAAAGTGCTGCCTTTCCTCTCACTGTGTTGTGTTCTTAATTGTTAAATATGAAGCTGAAACTGAGATCCTGCAGAGCTTGAGAGCTAGAATAAGTTGTGTACTAAATTGGAAGGGGTGAGGTGCACAGACATTTGGCTTGTCAAGATCACACTGCAAGGCTACTCTAGCAGGCCCTGCAGTCAGGATCTTGCAGACTTGTAGTGTACATAGTTTTTGAAAGAGACACCTCATAATTGGTGCCCTATCCATTCTAATAAACTGGAAACATTGCAAGTGTTGACTTTAGTTGAGTTACCTCCTGTAAATTAGAGCATGCATGAAATTATTATCCATGGGACAGGAGATGACAAATAATAGTGGCTGCATATATAATCTGCAGATAAATTTTTACTTCCATTATAGAAAATGGAACAAAGGTACAAGAATAGCTTCTATCTTCAGTTCTAACTTCCCAAAGCAATGATGGGTTCATGAAGATATTCCAGGTGTGACCAGCTTACCTCCATCTGAACGCAGTCTCTGAAGGATTTGGTGCTCTCCCCTTCCCTTCACCCTGTTCTGTTTTTAGAAGCTGGTTTAGCCTGCAATGCAGAACCTAATCTGTGTCCTGGGCTTCAACTTCCAACGGAGCAGAAATAATCAATACATGCTTTTTGCTTGCTATTTTCATACTAAGCAAAAAAGAAGCATCATTCTACTAATGCTTCTCAAAAAGGCATGCAGTACAACCACTATGTAATATTCAAATGATTTATTTTTTTCAGAATAGTCTGTTTTCTTTTTTGTAAAGGCTGCTTCACCTTTCCTCCGGTTCTTAGCTTTGACTGCACTCTTGCACTCTTCTCCTTTTATTTTTCTCTTAAATAACTAGTGTTGCAACTAGACAAAAAATACCTCATAATATGACCAGTTTCTTTGTCTTCTAGATAAAATTAGGCATTTCACTGTTACCTTTTGCTTGACTCTAGCCTTCATTTCCCTTATTTTTCCATTGACAGAGACAATTTTGATTCAAACTAGTTGTGCTTTTGTTGAAAGTAGTCTGACATTATCCCTGCTTATTAGGGTTTGTGCCTCAAAAAAACTTCCCCATGCCCAAACTGTTTTTTCTAAAATCTGTTTAACACAAAATAATCTGGACTGAGTATGACTAAGTACAAGACACATGATGCAGTTTCTTTTGAAATCAGTTTTCCTACATGCCAGCCCACGAGGTATATGCTTCAATACCACTGAAAAAAGGGACCACTTAACTGTTTTTGATGCCCCTCACCTTAACACTCTCCTCCATCACTTCTGAAAGATGCAGAAGTGAATACCTGCTCCTCTCCCTTGGTTATTGCTGTTTTCCCCCTACTCTGTTTTGCTTTATGGAGGATTTTATTCCCAGTGAATCATAGCACGATAAAGGTTGATCTTGCGTGCTATTTTAGCATCTGCAGAAATGTTTAAATTTGGTTCTGCAGAATGTATGCTATGATGATCTTTTTACTTTATTTTTTAAAGAGTATTAGAGCTGCATTAACTCTGAAAGCCATTACAATAGTGGGTGGCAGATTCCTTCTTGTTCCCTGCCTGGATCACCTGCATCTTTGGGGTTCTACAAACCTGGCATCTACTTTCTGATCTGAACCTCTTTCCAGATAAGCTGGAAAAGAATCATTTTGATTGCAAACCCCAGGAATATTCTGTCAGTACTTGCATTTATTTCATGCAATATGATTGTTCATTGATTGCCTAAAATACTTCCTTGACTGTGAGACAAGCTGCCAGTATTCAAGCTGTTAGCTCTGTCACCAATGGCTTTGCTATTCAGAGAGACGCAACTTTCATTGTTCTCATTTCTGAATAATTTCTGACCATTCCTAGCACTTAAGTCTGTGGATTATGCAAATATATCAAAATCTATCTTTTTAATAACATCTGTGAAGGAATGTTTTTTCCCGTTTTCTCCCTTCCCTCCCCCCCAGCATAGAATCAATTATTATGTAATGGATAGCAAATGTTTTCCTCAAATTCTAATCAATACTTGGTTGCTCATGGAGTAGATGTGGCTTTCCAAATGTTGCCTTGTAAAGCAGCTTGATGGGCAAATGATTTGACTGGCAAAGATCAAGCCACTCCTGCCATCTGCCTCTACCTCAGTGTCCTTATTTGATAATTTGTCAGAAACAGTTTAACAGTTCAGCCTGTTCTAATGAAGGTTTTGAACCTCTGAGGTGTGCCTGGAAAATTAAGTGCCATCCTGACATGTGCAAAACCTCAGCTACAAGCCTTGTACCTAAACTGACCTCTTGAAGAGACTTCCTAGCCTTGACCTTCCTCCTATTATCAGCCTTCCTGGTGAAACTCTGCTCGTGGCAGTAAGACCTTCACCTTGCAACAATGACTGCTCGTGGCTGTGTGGTAGGAGTGGAGCTGGTTGAGCATGAGGAGACTCTGATCCATTGTTTTGATATGTTAACCTCTGGCTTGCTTTTTTTGAGCACCCTCAGGATATCATTTGCCCAGGTGAGTGTGTGGGAACAGCTCTTTACTAGAAGGAGTTCAAATATGTTGCTGCTGCACATGTATTTTGGGGATTGCTGTGCTTTCACCTAGTGGCATGGGCACAAGAAGGCTTTATCATAGTGTTTCTTCATGTTATATTTTTTTCCATGAAGTGCCTGAGACACTTTAGGGGTGGTTTGATACATAACCATAACAGCCTAGTATAGTTTTTAGATGGCCTAAAGTATCTGCTATGCCCATCCTTCTGCAGAGCTGTGGCAGGTGGGCATCCTGTAGGGCATCTGAAATGGCATCAGGAGCTTATTCAGGCAACTGGGGCCTATTCTTCATATATTTTCCAGATGGAAAGCATAAAGCAGTTGCCTTGGCAAAGTGACCAGGCAGTCACAGCTGCTGTTCTCTCATAAATACGGAGATGAAATATTTTAATGTATTAATTAGCTAAACTACAAGCCAGAGACTTGGACTTGATACAAATGCTTATGACAAACTGGTAAACACAGTAGTTAAACTTCCTGATGGTAACATAAAATGAAAGTAGGGTGACTTCAAGCAAGCCACTTATCAAATATGATAGCTTTTCTTTAAACACACATTTCCACGTGGAACCTGCTTCTCCCAGTGCCTGGGTAATTTAGGAGTAACATATTAGTGTGAAGGAGTGGGGTCTGGCAAGAAGCAACATATAAACGTTGCAGGATCTCAGGGCAGGTGTTGATCTTCGTATTTATAATCATCCTTATAGATCCAAGGTATAAAGACCTCTGTCAATAGGAAAAGAAAAAAAAAAAAAAAGCCAGATACATCCTAAATACTCCACCTTTAGCTAAGGATTTCAGTGTTATTTTGGAACTATTCTTCACCATTGAAGTGTTTCTTGTTCTGCAACAGTTTAACTTCCTGTATCTGCCAAATTTGTGGGGTCTATCTGCTGCAGACTTCTCCTTGCTATCCTTGTGAGACTCTGCATCCCCCATTTCAAAGTTCATGACAACCAAGAATAGATCAACTTGATTTAATATTTCTGGGCATTGCAGTCCTAAGCTGAAAGACCTTGAATATAAATTCTGGAGTTGCTCACAGTCAATTCATTCAAAGGAGAATAAAACCTTATTGCTTTAAAATTGTAGTCAACCTTTTTAAACAGTCACCAGTGTAAATGCTTCCTATCTTATCTTCTGGGAAAGAAATATGTCTGTGTGACTTTTCCTTCTGAATTAGTCTTTGCAGATATGCACTTATTTTGTGGATCTTGCCACTATTTTTCTTTCTGAAAGCATTTTGCCCCTCATATTGCTTTTTGCAAAACTGTCCCATTGTGGCCACAGCTTGTTGCGTTCTGCTCCTGTAAGGGTTGCCATGGCACATATTTTCCTGAACTTACCATTGTGATAGGAGGTTTTGTGAATGCAGACAACAGCACTGCAAACATAAAAGTTTAGATCTATTTTCAGGTTTGCAACATAAGGCTGTATTGTCATGCCCAACTTTGTTTTCACTAATTTTGTCTGTTTCCCATGATGGTATGACAACTACTTATCTCATACTGTATTTCAACTGTCTTCAAGAACAGAATGGTGGGATTCTTGTCTAACCTTCTTATAAATATGTTCCCACATCTCCCAGTTATTACTTTATCCCTTATTTTATCTGTTTACCAGAAGCTGTGGAAGAATGCTTTAATGAAATGAATCTCGACATTTCAGGGAGCAAGGATTTCAAACCCCATCTTACTTTTCTAAAGCTCTCCAAAGCACCGAGATTAAAAAGAAGGGTGAGTAGGCTTTAAATTCTTTTTACTGGTATCAGTTCTAGAAATTATTTTTATTTTAATGACTTTTTTTGAGGGGGGGAGGAGTGGGCTATACACTTCAACAATTTTCATTTCAACTACAGAAAAAAAAAATCTATTTAACGGAGTTTTTATTTCAACGGGCCAAAATACTTATTTCTTCATATTCAATTAGAAGAGATTGGACTTCTTGTCCATATTGTGTATGGCTCTAATGGTAGAATACAGAGTGCTTTCCTTCTGCTGTGGGCAGTTGGATCTGCATGAAAATACAATGTCAAGCTGCTTCCATAGGGCAGGATGGCTTCAAGCAATATTTATCTGAGAACAAGATTAATGTCACTTTGGAAGCTAGGCTGGTGCTTTGATTTATGCTAGAAATGTGTGATGTGCTTTCTTAACCTTTACTGCAGCATTGTATGGTTTATCACATACAATTAAAGTAAAAAAACAACTCTGATTAGATTGCTCATTTCCCAGTGGAATATTGTCCTGCTTGTTTCCAGGAATAGTTCTTGTATTTATGAGGTCAATATATTGCAAACCTGAAACATGAAAGGAGCATGCATGAAGAAAACAGAAAATGTTATAATAGCTGAGGAAAATGACCTTGTATTTGTGCACATCAAGTACTTCAAATTGACTTGATACTTGCCTTCTGTACAATCAAAGTTGGATAGTAACAGTAGTTCTGTGCTGGAGGTTTTTTTCTTTTATATTGCCTGCAGAGAATTTCATCAGTACAGGCATCAGCAATGTCTAATGCAAAAAAAAGTACAGTACGAATATAGGAATTGCTGTTGATTTCTATCTAGAACAATTCACACTTCCTTCCACCATTGAACATACAGTTTTGGGCATCACTGAAAAAAGCATGATTACATCCTCTCTGCACTCTCCTTTTAGATATTTAATATACATTGACAAGATTCCCCTGAGCCTTCTCGAGGCTCAAGTCCCACCTCTCCTAGCCTTTCCTTGTAGGAGTGATGTTCCAGTCACTTCATCTTCATGGCCCTTCACTAGACTCTCTCTAGTAACTCCATACAGGGAAGCCCAGAAATAAATGTGTACTCAGGCATGGCCTCACCAGTGCTGAGTAGTGGGGAAGGACCACTTCACCTGCTGGCAATATATTGCCTGAGGAAGCCAAGAATACAGTTATCCTTCTTTGTGACAAGGGGACACATTTATTTTCAACTTTGTGTCCACCAGGACCTCCAAGCCACTTCCTGCAAAGCTGCCTTCTAGCTGGGCAGCCCCCAGTACATCCTGGTGCATGGGACTGTTCTTCCCCTGGTGCAGGACTTGATGCTTCCCCTTGTAGAACTTGATGCACTTCCTCTTGACCTATTTCTCCAGCCTGTCCAGGTCCCTCTGGATGGCAGCACAACCATCTGGTGTATCAGCCACTCCTACCAGTTTTTGCCCTCTGCAAGCTTGCTGAGGGTGTGCCTTGCCCCATCACCCAGATAACTAATGAAGGTGTTAAATAGGACTGTACCCGGTATTGATCTCTGGGGTGCTCTGCTATTTACTGGCTTCCAACTAGACCTGGATCCTCTGAATCCAACCGTGCACACAGTTTTTAATCCACCTTGCTGTCTGCTCATCCAGCCCATATATGTCAACAGCTTCTCTGTGAGGTTCTTACAGGAGCCAGTGACAAAAGAATTACTTCTAGGCTAAGTCTAGGCTACTAAAGATAGTCTATGAATATCTCCTGCTTTTCTCATATATAGAGTACATGTATTGTTCACTCCTGTCTCCAGATTTGTATGCACCTTAACCCTGTTGCTTCTAAATACTATTCTACACATCATGACCATGAAATTTAAGTAGAATGGGGTTGCATGTTAAGTTTGTTATCAGGGCACATATGGATGCTGTATGTCCATGTACAGTCTCACCATAGTTAATGCTCAGCCCCAGACACAGGATTTAACCTCAAAGATCAGACCAGAATATTAATGTATGAGTTTGAAATCTGACATACCAAATTGAAAATACTAAGTATTTGCTTCATCTTTTCCAGAGTCAAAACGTAACGGGTTAAAGAAGGAAAACTCTATATACCTATAATACCCTGTTCTTAAAGACAGCAGGAGAGAAACCAAAATTCCTAAATACTAGAAGATGCCAAGTGTGAGGAAAATATTGTTTTAGTTATTATGATGCCATCTACTGGCTGTAATTACTTGCTGTATATCATAAATAACTGTTTCCATGTAATATGAATGCAATTCAGGTACTTCATGCAACTTCAGTGCTTCCAAAGTGAAGCTCGAGAAACAATTACTAGCATTGTCTGCTTACATTTTCCTTCTCATGAACGTTTTAATAAAAGATAGATATATGATGCATATGAAGTTGTTGCAAACCTTGTTTGTGTTTGTGGGGAAGGAGGATTCATTCCTCTTTAAAACTGCTACATGTTTGAATTTTGAGCTCAGGAAATTATGCACATTGGACTTTGTGTCTAGAGACCCCAAAAGGTTGGAGGGGGCTTTATTTGTGTACTATTTAGCTTGACAAGCTGCTGAAGGAATGGTATATTCTGTTTATTGTTGAGGTTCAAATTGTGTAGGACACCTCTGGCATAAATATTAAAATACGGGCTTTTCAAATTTTTCTGACCTGTGTTTCCAGAGAGCCAAGAGGGAACAGCTCACCTTAAGAGTATCCACTTCAATGTGTACCTGATACTGTGGAGCCTTTTCCAGCACTCAGACTGCTGTTGTCAGTGCAGGTTGTTGGTCTCCAGTGATGGGCACTGCCCACGCTCACCTATGACAAAGCAAAGCTGGGTTTTAAGTGCTACCACTTGAAAGGGGAAAACATTTGTTCTTGCTTTTATGCTGCTCAAAGTAGATTCACTCGGTGCAGGTCTGCAAATAGCTGCTATCCGTCCTGGTTGTTGAGAGCAGCAATCCTATGAAAATCACTTTGTATTAAAATATTCTGGCTCTTTAATGGAAAGGGCAGTTCTAAACATGGCCTCTCTGAGCTACTTGATAAGTTATCTTAAATGACATGGCCTTACTTGAATTTCCATTGTCCTCCTGAATTACCCAGAAAGCAGCCAATGCACAATGTACCTCTGCATTTAAGCAGAACTTGTAGCTGGTGTAGAAGTGATGTGTGTCTCTTGTGTGACCAATGGCCTGGCCCTAGCTGCCACCAGGGTACCTCCAGAGCACAGTAGAAGATGTACAGTTTGTTCAATTAAACTTTGAAGTGACTTGGCCATTAGGTCTGCTCTGAGGGGCAGCAGTGTCTAAATGGTTTGAAGTTTTTGATTATTTTTTTTTTGAAGCTATTTACATGTGTTTCTGTTCAAGTGACAACAGTTATCTCTTGCAATTCCCCCATGGTGCATGCCTACTCATGCAGAGACCTGCCAAAAAGGCTGTTACAAGGAAGGAAGCTTGTAAAGAGATCTCTTGTTGTTTTTTAAACATACACTCCTGAGCATCTGGGGTCAAGGCTGAAAATAATTGAGATTCCCTTAAAGAATTGTGCTGCAAGGGGCTCCTCAGGGTCTTGTTAGTGTGCTCTCCTTAAGGGAAGGTGGAGACTCTTCCTTGTTGCTTAATGATTCATCTGTCCTTCACTTCCGTGTGTGCCCCTCAGACGTGAGCTTTGTTACAGGCTAAATGCTTTGTGGGAACCCCTAGTTCAAATTAGCAGCCTGTTGTGGCTGGTGGAAACATGTAGGGATTGTTTAGCCATCCCTGGTGGTCTCTGTACAGCTGAGTCAGTGCTGCTGTACTTGAACTTGTCTTGTGGGGAAACACCAATTTGGAAATGATTTCCATCTTGACAGTCCTAAATTACAATACTTTCTGATATGCCTTGATTTTGGCAGTGGAAGTTTGTTTTTTGTTTTTTTTTTTCTTTTCAATCTGAAACGATCATGTAAGCAGTTCAAAATGCATCTATAGGAGTAAAAACTTCCATTTATATATTGTGACCGTTGTAGTGTTCGGCTGTTGAGATATTAGCAGTGTTTAGTTATGATTTAAGAGCTGCTCTGGCTTTCTATTTTTGTTTGTTTGTCTAGCTTGCTTTCACAATAAGCTACTGTTAAACTTCTTTTGAATATTTTGCTAATGTATGTCAGCTATACAGCTTTGTCAGCTATATTTCTAACCTGTCTCTAGCATGCAATTTAATTACTGTCGTGACATGTGCACACCAAGGAAAAGGATGCGTTTTTCAGTCTGTAGAAGTAGCAACAGGATGAGAAACTGAGCAAAGAAAACTTCATGAAGATTTCTTTATTCCACCTAAAGGCAATTCAGAAAGGAAGGAATAGTTTCTGAGTTAATGTTGTGACTGCTAAATTGCTTGAAATATCTAAAAATTACATGAATGCTTTTCAATAATATGATTAAATTGAACTGTTGCTTTATCTCTAGTTCTTTTGGTGTGTTTGTGGCTTGTTGAGAGAAGAAGGGTACGTGAGGGATTCAGGAAAAAGACAAACTTAAAAATAATCAGCTGTCAGTACTGTGTTATCAGTATTAACCTAAGTACTACAAAATGCAGTAGATACTGCTATCCTAATGGGGTTGGTGGGTATTTTTTCCTAAGTTTTCTTAAGAAAAGAATTCATAAGATACTACTTGATATGTCATGTACTCTTCTGAAGTGTGTATAACTTGTGTATATATACACATACTATAAATTGCTCTTTCAATATTTTAGGGTTTCAGGAAAATTTGTTCGGATCTGTATAAAGAATATGAAGACAGTTTTTTTGGCACAGAGGTTTTCAATCAAATTGATCTCTGTGCCATGCGTAAGAAGAAACAGGAATCTGGTTACTACTATTGTGAGTGTTCTATTAATGTGGGCTCCAGAGGTACAGAAAAGAGCAAAGAGCAAGAAATGCAGACAGAAGATAAGGGAGAAACAAGCAATGAAGACCCTCCAAGTAGTGCTGCAGGGACTGAAACAGAGGGAACTGCTGCAAACTGTTACCTTGCCTCACATCCAGTAGCAGCTGATGACAAACCATCTGAAAATATTGCTGAGGTTTTAATTGCAAGTAAAGAGAAAGAAATCAATGAGGTGAATGGACAGCCTGAAGCTACAGATGAGACTTTTCTTGCTGCTGGAGAGATCCGCTCAGAGTCAGCGCCTGCTCTGCTGCCAGTAAGATTAGACGCATTGCTGAGTGTGGAAGAGAATCAAGAAAAAGCAAAGATAACAGACAATAGACTGCAGAAAACTGAAGCAACAGTGTGTGCACCTGATCTGCCAACAAGTTCAGAGTAAAGCTGTTGTAGTCCTTGGTGAACAGATCCCACCCTTGGTGATGGAAGGAAGGCAGCCACTGCAGTGCTTAGCTGCATTGGCCTTGGATGGGGGTATGGATGGTGGATTAATCTTTGGCAGAAAATGGTCTTTCTAAGAGACTAATAAAACTGAATGTAGAACAAACTCTGAGGGGAAATGTTTGGATGCAGCATTCAGTAACAAGAACCTAAACCGCAGGTGTGTGAGAGCCAGTGTACTAGAAAGGTAAATGTTTGGGCTTACAGGATCAGGCAGAAGCTCTGCTCTGGCACCAAAGTTGTTGTCAGACACTTCTGTTGCCCAGATACACACTTCTACCATAGTCCCTTCTCTTTTTCCTACTCTACCTTGCCTCTTCCCCTAATTCTGCTCCTTCCTATGCCTGCCTGCCTGCCTTCTCTCTCCCAGGACTGCCTACAGACCGCTGCTCTCCTGATCCCCACAGTTGCTCTGACCTTAAGCCTCCAAGCCATTTCTGTGACAAAGACACAAGGAATCAATCATTTTGTGTTGTAAGTGGTATGACTTTTGTTGTTAACATGTGTCTGTGAAATATGCGCTTCAGTTCAAATAGTAGCTACTTAATTATTTTGTCTGACTTATGGAAATAGCTCGATTTATCCCTCCAGAAATATTGTAATACAAAGTATTTTTCTTTAGCTAAACCGCTAAGTTATGGCAGCAGAGGAAGAGGAATCCATAATGAACTGTTTTTGTAAAATGCCTTAGAGGAAATGAGGCACAGCAGCTTTTTTTCTAAATTGAAGTAATGTTGTAATCTTTAATATATACATGAGCTATCTCTGTTTTGTCCTGTCCTTCACTGTATTCACTTCTGTCAAGAAGAAATGAAGGGCTTTGTACCACTGCTGGTGCTGAAACCTCCTTGCTATGCGTATTGTTCACTGAAGCCATGCAGATGGCTTGTGGCTAACAAGCAGAGCCTGCCCTACCTGCTGCACGGGAAATAATCTCTCTGCAGAGCCTCATGGCAGAGCGAAGCCAGTAGATGGCACTACTGGAAAAACAGCTGCAGCTGGGACGAGAGGGAATGAGCCGCTTCGAGGCCCCTGCGGCTCACTCTAGGTTTGGGAGGCTGCAAAGGGGCAGTGAGCATGGGTAAAGGCAGTAGGATGCCTAGAAAATCCTGCACATCCCTGATTTGCTTTAGCCGATCACTGAAAAGAGGTGTATTTGACCTTTTCTGAGGAAAGATGAAGCTTTTAAAAATGCACGCCTATATGGGGAGAGAAGTGTCCTCAAGTAGTTTTTCCCAAAAGAAGCATTAAGCGTGTGGTGTTTGGCTTCCATACGTGATGTGTGGGAATACGGCTTTGGGCAGAGTGTTTAGGATGCACTCTATTAAATTAACACCAGGTTGTTGCAAAGCTGTCCAGCTTGTTACTGGCCTTATAAACCTGGATTTGTGCCCCTTCAGTGGGGAGTGGAGGGAGAGACAAACCTACCAGGCTGCCACTGAGCAGGAGGAAAGGGAAGGCTCTGCATTTAATGAACCCGCTTTGTGCTCTGTGCTGAGGTTTGGGTCAGGCGCCTTGTGTTGCAGCACTTGGCAGAGCATTTATTTTTTTGTCAGTCCACGGAAGGTTGTGGACTTTCAAAAGCCTGTCCCCAAATGGTCTTCTAAATGCAAATTTGAGAGCAGTCATTCACAGCTGCTCTGGGGTCTTAAAATGCAGCTAAATTGCTCAATGCTAGAGGAAGGCTTCAAGGTTAATTTTGAAGAGTAGTTAGAGTGAGGCTTCAGTACTGCATCTCTATATCAGCACATTTTGGATGAATCAGTTTTCCAGAAAACTTTGCCTTAAATACACCAAGGAAACAGTGTTTCTTAATGATTTCCTAATTCAGAAGAGGATCAGTAGAGTCATTCATCTTATGAATTTAAGTGGATTCAATGGCCTAGGACCAAGTACACTTTACAATAAACTGCATTTGTTCTTATTGAAAATGTTAATTATCTTTTTATAGACAGATGGCACTGGAGTGTAGCAAATGTGTGGTGAACCTGTGCTCAAAAACGTTTGGGTGTTTAATGCCTACAGGTTCCAATTTAAGTTTATTTCTGTTTTAGGATTATTGTGATGATTGCAGGGTAATTAATTTCACTTATCTTAAGAGTATAGTAGTCTTGTTTTGGTACATTAAATTAAAATAAATACTTAAGCTATGCCACTACAATTTATCTTGATAATTTAAAATAACACTTAAACCAGAAAGTCTACCAAATATTCAGTTCTTTAGTCCTTAATGACAGCCAATTCAAAATGAGTTCCTATAATGCTGTTCAAGTCATAACATATTTTCAGCCTTGTGATGAAGAACAAGTCCTAAATTTCATTAGTACTCTGCTTAGGACGTGGGGATCCATGTGTTTGTAACTTAATGTTGTTTTTTTTTTTTTTATTGAAAGTAATTGAAATATGGTTGATTATTAGGTATTTTGTGAGGGTAGGGCAGGTGGGAAAAAGCTTCTAAATTGAAATAACTGCACTGAGGAAAGATTAATTGCCCTTTGACTTCTGTGGGGAAACAACACTAAAATCTAGGTTCAGAAGTGAATTCGAGTCATTCTTTATGATTCCTGCATTTACTGTTCTTTTCATGACATTTTTTTCCTTTATAGCTGCTAACTTGCTTATTTTTTTCACTTTAAGTAATTTGTTTTACAGGCACCAGTAGTTTATGTAGAAGATAAATGCAATCTGCTAATTTGTTCTAATTGAGTTTAGCTTAATGTAACTTTTTTTGAAACAATGGTACAACTTCAGAGTGAGAGAGAACTTGTATTAAATATTACCCACTGGTTGTGTGATTTTTTTTTTTTTTGAAAGAACTGTTTTAATGTTTTCCAAGTAAGTTGAAAGGAGGCCTTAACAGTAGCTTCTCCCCATTTCTTGGCTGATTTTTTTTTTTAATTGGATATGTATTAAACTAGCAGTTCTAATAAACAGGATGTAAAAACTGAAAGTGTCCTGTAAATACCTTATTCTGGTATTTATTCTATTTTTTTCTGCTGTGCTACTGGGTGCTGTTAGACAATCAGATGGGCGTTTACAGTCTGAACAGCTAGGGTAGTTTGGTTCTGGATGTTGCATTTTTGGGGGCTAAATGCAACTAAGCAAGAGTCCTGTATATGTTCTAAATTAAAATAAATAAAGATTGTAGCTGTTCCAGCTGGCTTTTTCTTCCCATAGTCCTGTATGTGCTCTATACACAACAGCAGAAATACATCCTTCAAACACATCCTTCACCTATACCTCATGTCAGGAGGATGCCAAGCTCCACTTTGTGAAAGTCCTGCAATGACCTTGTTGTGGTACCCTAAATGCCTGATCCTGTGACTAGGAGCAGGTAGCTTTAGGAGAGGGGGGTGAGAAGTAGTCTGCCTTTCTTCTTCCTTGTTCTTCTTGGAGTTCATATTAATGCGTATATTCTGCTGTTATTAGTCAAAGCTTCTGCTTGTAGTATGCCATACAATAATAACCTTATTTTTTTGTTTTTTTTTACTGGTGCAGGTAGGATGGAATAACCCCTCAATTCAGTGAGTGTGTGTAAACATACTTAAGTTATTATCCTTGATTTTTTTTTTTATCTTCATGAGACAGATTCTGAATTTAGCCTTGAAATAATTTCTTCACCTGATCCATTCTTACATATTTATCCTAAACCCAACTCAACGGCTGCGGTTGCATAGCCAAGAATAGCTCACCTGTGGTACTTGAGTCTCAAGATGGATGAAGACTGTTAAACTCTGGTAAATATTCTCTTTGTGGAAGTGCCTATTCAGGATTATAGCCAGGAAAGCACACATCTTCAGGCCCATAAATCCTAAGTGACTTTGTATAATTGTATTGGGCAGTTTCCTTCTCAAAATCAGTCCTAGATGGGCTCAAGTCCAAGCATTGTGTAGGCTTAACACCTCTGAAGCTGGCTTCCTACCATGGATTTCAGTCACTGACCTGTGCAGCAGAAATACAGGATAAGTCTCATAAAGAGACTCTAAAAAGCCTATGTATTTAGATTAGAGCATATTTTCTATGTCTGCAGGAGGGGAACAAAATGCTTTCTGGAAAAAAAAAAAGTATTAAACACATTTTAGCTCTTGGCTTGTACACCACCCCAATACTACTGCTCCCCTCATTGTCTGCAGGACTTGAAGTGGCACTGTGCTGTTCTTTAAGAGCTGCAAGTGAGAGCCATTGTTTAACCGACCAGTTTTTCTGCATATAAAGCAGTTAGCAGTGCTTGTGAAGGTGGTTCTTAAAATCAGCTTAAATCAGCTCTTCTTAGGTCCTTTATACCCAGAAGATATACTTAAATCTACCTCCCTCCACTGTCCATCTAGAAGAATAAAAACACATCTTCGCCCATTGTGGAGTCTCCAAAGTTGCTTTGTTACCCTGCTATTGGACCTTCCTTTAATGCTTTTTCTGTTGTTTTCTATGCTGCTCCTGTTTTACTTTCCCTTCACAGCATTTATCTAGCTTGGCTTGGGTTCCTGCACTTGTGCCTCTTCCATGATGCTTCTTGACATTGCCAGCTTGTATCCCTTTGTTCCTTGTTCTGGGTAGTGAATACTGCTGAGTAAGAATAGCTCTGTTCTCTTTATCCCTAGGAGTCTTTCATGAAAGCCTCTTGCTCTAGGGGAGGATACCAATCATCATCCCTTTGAGCTCATGGGGGCTCTGAGCTCGCTTTGGCAACTGTTAGGCTGCTGCTTGTAAGCCCATTTTGCTCTGGTTTGCATAGCCCCTATTGTAATGGGAGTACTGGGTTGTCACAAGGTCTCAGAGTTCCTGTAATCCTACTCAGAGAACAACTGAGCATACCCCTGCCTTACTGTGGCTGGGAAGGGGAGCCAGTGCAAAATGGATGGAGGAGGAGGAAATGTTTCTGCCATGTTCTTGTGCCTGAGGTTGTTGGGCTCTGTTACAGGGATGCTGTACTTAGGCTGCTGCTGCCAGCATCCCAGCTCCTTGCTGAAAGTTGGTGTCTGCTGCAGTCTGCGAGGGCAGGCGATGCTCCACCAGTCTCTGAAGGAAGGAGTAATGCCCACTGGGGACAGAATGATGCAAGAGCCATGGTAGTGCAATGTCTAAAAGCAGCAGCTTGGCACCAGGGATGTCGCTGCTTGTGGTAATTGCTGCTGCCTTACAGGAACCTGTGTGCCTGAGATAGGGTGGGGGGTCTGCTGGACCAGAAGCACTTCTGGTAGGGAACCCCCTTTAGGGTGTCACTGCTTTCATGGCCTGTGGGTAAGCTCCTTGGCTATGCCTTCAGTTGCTGCACTTTTATTTTTTTTGGGTATCTTCTGGCAGGTTTGAAAAGAGAGGTTAGACTGAACAGCTCTGCTCTGATTACCATGCTTATGCCTTTAAATCACTGCTATGATGAGATCAGCTATTTCCTTGTTACCTTCTTTGTCTGGGACACCTGTTTTACCCTGTGTGCATATGTTACTCCATGTGTTGCACCAGAATTTCAGTTTTTCATCATTTGGCTCAGTTCTCAGGGCTGTGTAGAAGTAATGTATTTTAGTTGTGCATAAACACGATGATTTATATACGCTGTGTTGCTGCAGTATGCAGATTCACGCACCCGTAATGTAATTGCTTACACTCTGTGCTGTAAAAGAATTACTCATTTAAACAAAGGCTGATTAGGTTGTAGCCCTTGTCAGAGGAGAAATGGCTGAGTATTCTAAGGGCCTCTCCTTGACAGAACAAGACCTTCTACCACTTCTATACTTTAATACAGAAAATGTGCATTAATGGCTGTTTCAGAGTCCTGAAGACCAAGTACTGTCTATGTTCATCAACCACAGACTCTCAAAGAGAAGGCTGCGTATTGGATAGTGTGCCCATTTACTGTGTATAATACAAATAATTTATCATCACATGTGGTAGGAAACAAAAGAGATTAAGCAATCCCATGTCAGGACATGGAGTACTTAACAGCATATTTTCAAAATGGGCATACTGCTTACTGATCCCACCAGGTCACTTGAAACTCCTGCTGATAAAACCTGTCTCATCCCCAATGTTGTTAGTTGTATTCCATTTTTGTGTTAAAGAAAAAATGTTTTAGGAATATCTAAAATATTCCTAATATTACCCCTTAAATAGATAGAAGTAATCCTTATTTTCCCTTCAGCTAATAACCATTCCAGTTGAGTAGAGGAATCTGCAATTCATTTTAAAATAATTTGAATAATTTATGCCTTAATTTCCTGATGTTGTGACATCTCAAATTTACCAAAGTACCTGGGGATTTCTGAACTCCACTGTACTGGAAATGCCACTTCTATCTCAGTAAGAGACACAGTTGTAAAATGGTATTGATGAGTATGGAAATCATGGTTGATCCAAATCAGATCTTTGTCTCCTACCCAACCATCTCTCTAAGAGGGAATTGAAAAAAAAAAAAATGTGGTCAGGTTTGCTGGAAAGCATAGTTCTATCCTATTCTTGTGGTGGCAGAGTTGCTTAAACTATGATTGTCTAAATCATCAATGAGAGTGTCTACAATTGCAAAATAAACATGCCTTATAGATATATTCTACTGTACACTTTGGATGTTTACCTACTGCACCTTGCAGGAATACATTGCTGTTGAAATATCTGCTGCCCATATAAGAATTGGTTCATCCTGCTGGTGAATTATCAGGTAGCATGCAATGTTTATTTGAGTAGAGGACTGAACCAATTTGCTTGTGAAATGAAAGATAGGGTAAACACTACTATAATATTGCCTTACATGTGTAATTACTTGAAATGTGTGAGCTTCCTTTGACTTCAGGCCCCTCAGCTCCACTAGCTTCATTAGGCAAACAGCTACGTGGGAAGGATTGGTGATAAAATTACTGCTGCAACCCTGGTGGCAGTGGGGTCGTCCAGCTTCTCTCAGAGAGTAATGATGGATGGAGAGGGAGAAGGGAGGTGGCTTCTTTCAGATGTTGCACCAAATTCTCCCATTCAAGGGAAAGAATGCCTTTTGAACTGGTGAGGGCTACAAACTGCAGACCTTTCCACAGTTCATTACCTGCCCCTTTCCCTTTCACCCCAGAATATCAGTGAATAGCTCACCTGTGTCAAGTATGGACAAGCCAGAGTGCTACAAAGGGACAGAACTGCTGCAGCTGATGGATCCCAGACCTGTGCTGTGGCATTCATTTGGGGTTGTATTCCTCTGTATCGGAGGCAAGGCACTAGGTCCTTGCAAAGACCATTGCTAAGAAGCTGTGCTCACAGTTCCTGCATATAAGTCCTGAACACTTAAAAAGCTCAATTGCTTCATTACGGTGATGATGGACCAAAACTCTAGGTCAAGGGTATAAAAGAAGCAACTTTCTTCTACAGCTTGTACCTGTTAGTCTCTGAAGGGTTGGGAGATGCAGCCCTAGCTTGTGCCCTTGTTCCAGTGCTGCTGCTCCAGATGCTGTACAAGTTGTAAGGACAGACACGAGGACATGAACTGTCCTGCTGCATTTTCAAGCACCAAGGTCACTTCTAGCGTGGTTGGCAATGCCAGCAGGCAGATCTAAGTTTTCCAACCCCAAAGAGCTGCTACTATCATCACCTTTTCCTGTTAACACAGCAAACTAATAATCAGCACTGGACTTGTTCCCCTTTTAAGTTACCCATTTGAAACAATATGGTATCAGCTGTCCAGCATTGCCTCTGTCCTTAAATATTCTGCAGGGATGTTTTAGGACAATCTTATTCTTTTGTTGTCTCCTATAATATTGTGTGCAACATATCTGAAAAATAATGAAATAGATTAATACTTCAGTGCCTTGCATGCAGAAAGAGGCTATGTTAAAGATGAGGGATGGCTCTCCTCTTTGAAGAAAAGCACTCAACGGCTCTCTGTTCCTCAGCAGGCTACTTTCACGGTTTGGAAAAGTCACTTAGAGGCAGGTATTTGCATGCTGTCATCATTGCGTACTGGTGCCTATATTCTTCTCCCTTTAAAAAACATAATTTTTGTCTTTGCACACTTCGTCTGTGGCTGTGTCTCTGTGACTTGCTTTTAAAGAGGAAGATAATCACTCTCTGTTCCCAAGGCATGTTAGACAGAAATGCATTAAGGACTGTGAGGTGATCTGATGCTACTTTAATGGGGACTCTATAAGCATTTTAAATAGGTTCTGTTAGGCCCTGAGACCAA